GTTGGGCACATACAAAATTCGTTTCTTGGAAAATCTTTCTTTGATTTGAATCTTAAAATCGTCTCATCATACAATAAATATTTCATCAAACTGAATCATTTTGGGCTTTTTGTTAGACTAATGTGCCACATCGATCAGCAAAATATGAGCTCAAACGGAGGGTATCGGTTGGGAATGTTACCTCCTTAGGCAGGAAAATGACGATAGCTTATTTCATCCGACAGTGGAAGAAAATAGTATGAATTTAGTTCATGTTTAAATGTTTAATTATTATCTAAATATCCGACATCCCAAGTCAAATTGATTAAATATTAATACTGATTAATTTCAATGACGTTCTTTGTATGATCGATTTCGTACCGATGATTCATTGTACGAATCAAAAATATATGCTTTTGAATAGCCATCTGCTTTCTCACATGTCAGATTGAAATTGTTACATAGACGTTTGAATAAATTAGACACACCGTCATATTCACTTTTCTTCGTTCAAAAGACAACATCTGTTGATTCATCTGCATGGTTTTTACCGACATATGGTACAGTGTTATATCCAATATTTCGTATAATGCAATAGAACACAATCCACAAACGACCGATCGTTGGTTTATTTTTTGAAAAGCTTTTTATATGAACAACAAGTTGTTCGATTGAATTTGGACGCCACGATTCGATAATCATACGATAAGTACTATTTTTAATTACTCATTGACTTTCCGACGTAAATGTATCATCAAATGCATCTGAAGGAGCAAGAACGTTTCTAGACGTATCGCTAGCATTGTCAACAATAGATGTATTGGATAAATAAATAGTTGGTACACCGAATGAATCATTATGATCATCATCACTATCGACCTGTTGAATACGATCTAATTTCCAACTTGTTTTATCAATTGGTGAATGAAAAAGTTTGGGTGAACTTTTCGAATTTGAAATAAGATACAACTGTTGATGTTTGTCGATATGTAGTTGATCTTGATTTTGTTGTATCTGCGATGTCATTGGTGTTGATGAATATTCTTCGTCTGAATACTCACGATTTGACACTGGCTGCATAAAGTAAGCCACAGGCTTGGCACTTTCATCACCGAAATTGACCTGTAGTGGACTTGGTGGTATTGATGTCATGTCATATATCTGCCGTCATGGCGGAAATCAATTTCTTCGGTTAATGTCAAAATGCGCCAATCATTATTACCGGGCTGATCATCACTATTCGAGTTTTTCTCGTCTGATAAAGATTCTAATAAAATGCTGTCACTATCCGAATTGACAGGCGTGATCAGTGTTGGTAATCGTATAACAATTGATCGTACATTGCCCTTGTCAGAACTGATTTGTTTTCGTAGCGGTGGTAGACGAGTAGTAGTAATTTGACTGGATTCATCATTAAGATCAGGTTTTTTTGAGATTGATTCTAGTCGAATAATGGCTATCTTTTTCTTGTTTTCAGAATCAACGCTTTGTGGGGTAGATGGCAGTTGAAATGATGTCACAGGTTTATTTGCATTTGTCAAATCATTTTCTGTTGAAAGCTGTTGCAGACGAAAAGCAGTAGCACTACTATTGTCTTTGTTAGTCTCGACTTGATTCGAAAGTGGTGGAGGTTGAGTAACAGTTATTTGCGTAAGTTCTTTTTTGGCATCGAGTTCTGTTATTATCGGACCTGAATTCTTATTTTGCTCTTCTACATTGATCGCACTTGGCGGTGATTGCACAGGATAATTGCTAATTTGAACACCCTTACATCATGCTTCATTATTATCTTTGGCAAGAGTTTCACACTGCAGTTAAGGATTGGGTCATCACACTTTATCAAACTATGTCAGTTTGAAAAGGACGATTGAATTTGAATTTGAAGGATTGTAACATGGTGGCTAGATAGCCCAA